CTTAATTTAGCTAAACCGTTACAATGTCGTGTCCCTTGCGGATTATATATATTTGCGATCGGCTATTATTACTGATTGATCACATTGCGAAACAGATGGAAAGTTTCCTCATCCCTCAGTAAATGTGCATAAGATATCTCTCAGTTTTGAAAGAACAAGGGACACAAAGAATTGAGGATGGTTGGTGACTGGTTGATGTCAAAGTGTTGATCATGGTGGGATCGTACTATTTCCTTTCTAAGGAGCTTGACAATAAGTTTAGTCAATATAAGAGGAATTGCAATTGAAGTTTTCTAAATTACGTATAAACTTGACCAACGAAGCCCAAGAAAAACAAAAAGAAGACAATTGTTGTGAATTATTATAACAACTGTAAAATGGTTTTTTTTAAAAAAAAAAAAAATTAGTTTGGGAAAGTCATTTTCAAGAAAATATGACCATCTCGGATAACCATGTTGGAAGTTTCAAATATATGTATATCTTTGGTCCGACATTCCTTTTTTTTTACAAATTTTTTTTCACTTCTAAGTATGTTTATCCAGCTTTGAAATTAGTACCAATTTCATAGTATATGAGCGTGTGTTTTTTTCTTTAGCCGGTACCTGCATGTGTAGATCTAGTACATTTTTTTTTTTTGGGTCAATTTAAGATAGCTGATTTTGTACTAAAAAAGTTTTACAAGAAATTTTCCGCATGAAAAGAAGGTGAGTTCTTGTTCTATTTAGAATTATTTATCAACTGAGATGTACACTTGAACAGCAAACTTAATTGCAGGCTTTTGGCTCATGGCACTTGTCAAAGTCAAATGGGATCTTCAGTTGTCGATGAAAGTTGTCATGGTTCCAATTTGTGGGAGTTCTGAGAAATGCTGTGAGGAACAGATGGCCAAATTTATAAGAAGACTTCTTAATTACTTTCCGAAAATGGAATGATGATCGATTCTTGTAATAGGACTGGTTTAAGTTTGCAGGGATCCATATTTTTGTTATATTCGACCGATTGGTCTTTAATGTTCTTCATTATACTGGACAAAGTGTCATTTTCAATCGTTGGACGCGGGAAAACATTGTTAGGCTTTTTTTTTTTTTTTTTTTTTATGTTTTGCACTTCCATCTCTTGCTTTTAACAGGATGATTATTGTCATATTGATTGCTTATTGCACAACAATTATCATGGTTTTTTAAAATTCAGCATGGGGTTTTCAATAGTTATTAAAAGAAAAAAAAAGATTGCATAGAAATACTTATCTACTTATACCAACAAAATGTTGAATTTATTTCAACCAAACACGCTTACGTAATATAATATTTTTCACTAATAAATATAGCATACTCTGTATTAAAAAAATACTCTTTATTATTTGTCATAGAATTAACTCTTGTCATTATTTCTCTGAGGTGTAATACCTGTATTGTCAGCGTAACAAAGGAAAAGAGGAGGATTTAAAAGTAAAGTAAACTAGACACTTCATGGTCACCTAGCTAGCTAACGTCTCTAATATTTGAACAAAAATTATGTCAAGAAGTGCCAGGTTGAAGTTTGTAATTAGGGGAGGGTTGGTTTGGAAGGTAAGGAAAGAGGAATCATTAGTGTGTGAGGTCTTGAATTAAAAAAAAAGGTTATTATTATTTTACTCCCTTAATGTTTGGTGACACTATCAATTTTTCCCTTAACATTACTTTTTAATCACTTTACTTCTAAGACCAACCGTCAAATTTAACAAAATTTTTTAATTTAAGTAAAAAGATATGTTTAACTCTTAAAATTATTATTACTTTACCTCCATATCCTATTATCAATTTACTCATAGAGTTATTTTTTAGGCAATTTATCCCACCATTAAATCAACTTAACAAGTTAAAAAACTAGAAAAAAGTACCCTCCTCTTTATATAATAAAAACGATATAAAATTTAGAGTCTCTCTTCTCTTTTTTAATATCGGGAAAAAAAGTTAGAGCATTAATCTCTTTCTTTTTGACAATCTTATTAGTATTAAGAAAAATAGAAAGGTAGAGAAGGAGGGAGAGGGAGAGAGAGAGAGAGAGCTCAATTCTTTTTTTTAAAAAATAAAAACAAACTAGAATTCAATTTTATAAAATTAATTTACTTTTCTTTTTATCACCCAATTCTAATCGTAATGCTGACGACATTAAAATGATACGATAATATTATATTCTTCTTTATTTTCTTTTTTTTTTTTTGTAAAATAGAATTATCTGTCTCCTTCTCTCCTATTTATTTTTCTTTTCCTAGTATTAATAAGTGTAAAAAAAGAAATTTGAAAAAACCTTTTCATTTTTATTGGAACTCTTAGAGTAAAAAAAAGGAAAAATAACCATTCCAACTTTTCTATTTTTAAATATATATATATATAAAAGTGTCAATACATTTAAAAATTTTTGAAGATATTGGTTAGGTTAGCAATGGGGTAAAATGACTAAAAAATAATGTTAGGAAGTAAAGTGATTGGATCACTATAATTTAAAAGAATAAAGTAATAATAACAATGTAGTAATGCTATAAAATAAAAGGATATTTTTTGTCCAAAAGTTGTTAAAATGCTTAGTTGAATTACCTATGGGAGTGAAGTGATTAAAAGATAATGTTAAAGAGTAAATTTATAGTAATAATACAGTTTAACGAGGTAAAGTAATAATAATCCTTAAAAAAAAGTTTGTAGAACTACTTCCAATGTTTGTATTTTTTTTTTTTTTTGGGACAAAAACTTCCAATGTCTGGATCAGGCTTTCTGCTATGAGCCTACAATTCCGTTTCCTGGACCTTGGGCCCTTGAATTGAAGATTTTGCGATTGAACGGTTTTCTGTAGGGTAAAGTGGGGCAACAATATGGTGATGCGAAGAATTGCCCAATTTTAACTTTCCTGTGAAGTTCGTAAACGAACTTTTTAAGCCACAATACCCACGTTTTCATTGATCATTGGAGAAGTGCCTCGCCCAATAAAGCCTGTAATCCACTACAGACACTTAAATTTTTTGTTTTTGCTCTTACAATGGTTAAATAATTAAGACTAGTGCTAAAGCTGTACGCGATGCGTCTGCAATTCAAAAAATCTTTTTTACAAGTTAATTTTATATAAAATTTTAATTACTAAAACAAATGGTAATATTTGAACCTTTTTTTCTCATCAAATAATGGTTACTTTACGGTTAAAAATAGTTATAGGTAATTATTTTACTCTAAACTTCCACCTTTCCCTTTATGTATAGTATAGATATTGTACATAACCAAGGATTTGTTATATGAATAATTAAATTTTTCTTCTAATTAATGGCCAACTTCCCTCTAATTAATTCTTCATGCTTGAAGTCTTCAGTCTTCTTTTGGATTGAGAGATTTAACGACAGATTTGAAATCTTCTCAAATCCCTCTAATTGTTTATAGATTTTTTAGGAGGTGTTTGACTTTGTAAATCACAAATAATATTAGTGTTTAAAAACTATTCCATCATCTACTGCTAATTTGCCCAAGAAGGTGCTCATGTGGAGCACTTTTAAAGAATGACAACACAAAATAGCAATTAACTACGAGACTAATCAACCCAGAAAAAAAATTACTGTTTGAATTTCTTCAGTATTAACCTGCTTATACAATCATTTCAAGTCTTATTGTCAAATTTGACATCCCAAAAGCTAAGCTAAATGATTTATTGAATAAGGGGAGAAAATGAGAGCTACAGTAATTTAGAGTTTATACTTAGCCTCTGAATGACAGACAGAAGATGCATTCTGAGCCTGCACATTTACAGAGATGTCACAAGTGGTAAAAGTGGTTGTCTTGATTTTCAAGATTTTGAGCACCGTTGCTTTACCATGCAAGGAAGTTGTTGAACTGAAGTTTAAGCTGCCAGAAGTAAGATCCACCAAGAAATAAGGATTTGAGGAGAAATTATCCACTACAACCACAACAGTTGTGCCAACGTCATGCTTTGCTCTAGCGGGAATTGTGTCTTGTTGAATTGGTGCTTGAGCCGCAGGAATGCCTCTATAGGTCACAAAAACTGTGCTGTTGTCATACTTAAAGCTTCCATAGTTGGGATTATCAACTATAACCACTATGCCTAGGGTAATATTGAGGTGGAACACAGGTATTACTACCCATTTGATAGAATCCAGGGTGACAGATTGAGTTGTGATTTTTGGTTTTCTGGGCTTGAGGACTGTAAGAAATAAGACCAAGCCAACCACTATTACAGTGATCAGAAGAACTGTAGTGATACCACAGCATATTTTTAGACCTCTTGGAGGCTTGCCTGTGCCACACATTTTTGATGAGTTATGACTGCTTGGACGCTGATGATTAGGAGATTCAGAAATTTATTCAGCAGTTTATGATGACAAGATCGTTGGTTTCCTGGATTGATTGTTTCATTAATGTTAGACCATTTGGTAATGTGTCTGCTGCTGATTACAGAAAAGGTTGACAATGGTGATAGTTTCAAAGGTGATTTTAATTAAAATAACTTTTTGGAATTTGAGTATCTTCTTTGTGTCTTGGCTGATTGTCATGGAGATTAAAGCATAGAATGGACCACTTGACAGGTTAATGACAAATTGTCAAAGTAAAACAATTCTTGTTTCTATCAAGAAGAACTTTTCATCTTGTCAGCTAGCATTTAGGAGGATTGACTGAACACGGCTATATGTATCCTCCTCCACGGATTGAACAATGAAATCTAAAGATGTTATATCTGGGTTTTCCTTTTTGCTTGTTTCCCAGTTTTTGGAGAAATTAACGACCGCAACCCACATCAGTACAAGCAAGTGATCTGTATACAACAATTTTAATTGTGTCTTATTCTAAGTTTTACCATGAGTATAATCAAGTGAACTATATAAGACATTTTGTGTGGTATCTTATTCTAACATCAGAAAAGCTCAAGTATCATGAAAGGAAAACTTGTTAGTGTATCTGTAATGCCTACAAGAGATCTTAGAAAATCAACATATGACAACTCACGACACTTCGGCAATGCATGTAACATTAACTCCTTTTTTTTCCCTTTAGGTTTCAACTTCCAAGGGAATGAGGATTTGTAGACATGCATTTCTTTTACTGTAAGACAAGGGGCATGATTTCACAGCAGCAAACTTGCGTCCCAAAACAAAGTAGGATATTATATGGCCTACCTTACCTTGTGCACTAATCTTGAACTGAGTGAAATCTCTCACGTGTTCTGGTGATTTTGGCCTGGATTAGAGCAACTAAACTAATGAAGCAGAGCTGAGTTTCTAAGGGTCAAAAATGTACCCATTTTGCCAAACTGTGCAATGAATTTCTAGTTGTGATGTGAGGCGCCTCATCAGGTAGTGTTTGAACTTGAGTGAACTTCATTCACTTTGTCAACAATATGCACATCAGCGTTAGACAGATTATTAAAACTAAATCTGCAGGATATTGTCTTCCATCTGCCGTTGGGAGATTTGTTGGTAGTGTACACTCTTCTCCATTGAAGAGCAATCTTGAAGGGAACCCATCGCCTTTTACAATGTCAATGCCTCGTAAGTGCTTTTTAGTGAATGAGATGACAGACTGTTGCTTCCCTGGTATTTTTGGATCTGTTTCAGGATGTGTTCCATTTGTCTCTCCCATCAAATAGTCCAATCCTGGTTTTCCTGTCATGAAAATGGTGTTGTTGACTTCTTCAAGCAGTGTTCCATTAAAGGAGTAGGCATTTTGAAAACCAGGGCCTGCTTTCTTCAGTTCAACTGCAACAAACCAGTCCTTGAAGCTGACTTCTTTCCAATTAAATAACGTGATACGGGCAGTCCAGCCAGTCCTATAGTTGGTCGCGATGTGCCAGTTTACACTAACCCCGCAGTTGTCACCACAAGGCAATGGAGTTGGGATATGTTGCTTCTTGAGTCTTGCCCAATGTACAGCCTTCTCGGTTCTGTTTAAAAACGGAATAAGAAGGGCTTCTGGAGGAAGAAGCAATGCCGGTACATTTTTGCTGCACTTTTCCGAGCTACCACATCCACAAGCACATGTATTGCACGGTATGATGGAGTCATAGTAGTATGCAGAATACGAAGCACAGCATTGAGACTCTCGATTCTTAGGCTTGGTGATATTGCAGACAATTTGCCAGCTGGCAACTGCTGTGCTGACGGCCTGAAGTCCGCTAGGATCAGGAAATTCTGTATCATCTACTCTTAATGGCTGTCCACATTTATAGTGCGGATTAAGCTCCCCTAAAATCCTCCACTTTTGAGGAGGATACAGAGCTGTTCTGTTCAAATCTGGTGAAATCTTATAGACCTGCATCTGAAATACTGATATTGCATCGGATGCATTCATGATGGTAGGCAGCAGACTACCATTTCTGCAGCAGTGTGGCAAGTTCCCAATTTCTTGATCAGTTTTTCTATCCTGAGGCAGATCACCGATGATCGGACTCTTTTCACAACTCATGACTTTAGAAAAATCTAAGTCATTGTAGTACTGTGCTGCAGCACCATAAATGCAGTCCGTCGCATCTTTTTTGCGAGTATATGCTCCTCTCATTGTGTATATGAACTCTCCTCTCATCCACTCCCATGTCAAGTTCCAGTTGTCAAGACGTCCCAATGGATTATTGTTCTCAATAGTCACCTGAGCAAGGTAATTAGTCTGGTAAGCTTGGATAACATCGTAAGAGATCGAGAGATCACCTTTCTGTCGTGGAAAATATTTTGTCGTCAAATTTTTGGCCTCCAATTTTGGATCTATTGCACAGCACATGTGCATTGCTCTTGCTGTTACGGAAAACATACACAAAAGAAAATTTGAGAATATGGGGAAGATGTAAAATATAAAGTTAACTAAGTACTAACCGCGTCGAATTGGTGCAGGGCATCTGAATCCATGATTAACGAGCTTTATTGTCTTAGGCATAGGATATCCTGGAGGCCTGATCCCAAATTGAGTACCAGATAGCTCAATTTGCGCCTGAATTTTGGTAAGATCACCGGCAGTGTTGATAGATGTTTCCAAATCTGTTTGTGGGTAGCCAGCCAGGTAAGTTCCATTACCAACAGGAGCTGGAAATTCATCTCCACCTACTAGAACTGCATTACTCGCAGAGACTAAAATCTCTTGGTTTTGGAACCCAATGAACATTTTCCAATTCTTGAGCACATTCATTCCTGCATTCAAGATTGCGGCAGTAGACTTGAACGCCCATGGCTGTGCAGTGGCGTTCTTTAAATGGGGATACTCTTTTGTCCTCGAGACAAATGTGTAGGACAGAAAAATCCCATTACAATTCTCTGCTTCCGGGGGAGGCACAGCAGATGGATTATCTTGACTGGCAAAATCTTGTGCTTTACTAACATAAATTGTGAAAGCACAAAACAAAACCGAAAAAAGTATTGGCATATTAGAGATCATTTCATCAGTGCTTTACTAGAAACTTATACTGGATGATGAGCAGCATGGTAAGTTAGTAATAGTGCTCTAGAGCAAGAATTCTCATGTTACAGAAAACTGTAACAATTCATGGTAAAGGTGAAGAGAGTTTTTGACAGGAGGATTGGGAAAAACCGAAAAAAATGAAAGCAAAAAAAGGTCCTGGTGAGATGTGGGATCAAGGTGCTGAATTCAGAGAAAAGACCAAATCAGGTGAAACTTCCTCCTATTTGTCAGCGACACATATGGCGCCTTGGTGGGGGAAAACTACCAACAGTATTTCAAGTCTTGTGTTTCTGTTACTTCCAAAGTGGCAACAATACCCTTTGCAAAAGTATGGATATTTTTTCACCATTTGTGGTTCTATTTCTTCCCCTCGAGTTTAAGTTTGCTTTCACCAGCATTACCATGGACTCCTTGGAGAGCTAGCAGATTGGAAATTGACATCTGGGGACAATCTTGAATGATTTTCTTTGCTCAATTCGGATTGAGTGAGACAAAATTGTGCAAATACAAAAATGAAGAATACAAGAATGAAGCACATGAATTCGTGCAGAATTTTTTTTTTTTATTCGATCACATTCTTGCCCTATTAACTTCTTCACCAGCATTAAAAAAAATGCTATAAAGGATCTGAGTTTCGTACAAGGGGCACTTGGCCATCTAGGTTATTCAGTTATAGTTTCATTTTTATCCACTTCAAGAATTATAATTGGTTGGGTTGTTACTTGAATTAATTGATAAAAGATTGGCTGAACTTTCACCATAGCTAATTTACAAGGAACTGGCAAACCCCTGTAATAAAATCAGCATCTGGTTCCACATTTTCAGCCTGATGAGCACATACCAACCCGTGAGCATTGGATGTAGATCAAGATCTCAAGAAAGATGTTCCTCAATGCAAAGATGATTCTGATTCACTTGTATAAACATTCAAATTTTTCCAATACGAGGCCATTTTCAAGAGTACTAGCAGAAAAGACACCAAAAAAAAGGAATAAATGCATAGTCAATTCCCAGCAGATTAGCAGGAACAGATATGAATGGTGTTAAGCTTAAGTCAGCACACAAGCATCCTGACTTTACGTTAAATCACATTAGGACCAAGTTTTCGAGAGCACACTAAAAGAGTCCAACTGTTTACAAGGCCCCTCTTCATGGTGTTCTTATAAAGAGGCAAGAAATACAAAAGGTAAAAAGGAAAGAAGAAATTGATTTTCCCAAATTAGTCTCCCAATTCAATATTAGGTATACCTCTCTGTCTCACAAGGCATTGCATTGCTCAAGTCCCCTCCCATGTCTTTTTGCTCCGTATTTACCATGATCACAAATGCAATGCACCTTTCTACACTAGAGTAACATTAGCTTGTATTAGCCTTTTTGGGCCCCCTCTTTCTGGCTCTTGTGCTGACCAAAAAATTCCCGACTTGGAAAGAGGAACTTGAAGAATATAAGCACATCCAAATTTTCGTTATCCCTTTTAGCATCCCTGGAAAATTAGGCTACTTCTATATTTGCTGGTTTAGCATTGCCTTCCACAAACTTAGTCTTTGATTTAGCTGCCCGAGAACCCCTTGATGAGGAAGAAGAATTGGACCTGGGAGACGAAGTTGACTTAGATTTCTTTCTCTTCTGCTTTGCCTTGGGTATATTGGGAAGATCTGTAGATGGTATGTCCTTGTACATTTCAGATGTCGATCGATGCCCCATGGATTCTCCAAAATCTGTTAAAAAGTTTGTCAAGAAGTGCTGGGAGATACAAATAAGAAGGTGCAAAAAGAGAGAGATGAGCCAACCAAATCAAGAACATCATAGAACCACATTCTAGTCATACTTCAATTATCCAAGATGGTAAGAAACATACTTTGATAAATAAAATCTACTGTCTACGCTTCACTCTCACTACAACCCTGCAGAAACCAATTTTCACTCTCAGCTTAGATATGAAGATAGAAGCTTGAAGTAGTCAGCTTTTAACAGGATTCTTTTTGCCAAAATAGTCAGCCTAAACACAAACTGTTGGAGTAACGCCGCATGCAACACTAAAATTTAATATGGTCTTCGAACAGGATTATCGGAACACGAAGGTCTGAATACGTCTCCCACAAATGAAGACGGATTAGCTCGAATTTCTGAACCGTAATTGGAACCAAGATTGAAATGATTTGCAATTTTCTGTGACCTCTACTTATGGACATTGTTGTTTACTTTCTTTACCACTGTAATTCAACTTGACTTGAGGAATTGTGATATCATATTGAGTCAAACCTTACAGTCAAAATACAGGGAAAAATTGAGGATTAGGATCAACCAATGCACCAGCACCACTGTCCTTTTCTAGGCCCAATGGCTGACAGATTTTGCTGTTCTAAAACTTCTCTCGTGACAGATGTGCCAAACTTTCCTCTTTTCAGGCAAAGAATCTTTTCCCATCGTCCAGGTAATCTCCTACTAGGCAACAGTACACAGGACAAACCAATCAATTTTCAATCACTTCTTCAACACGTTGACACATCATTAATTTCTTTACCCTTGTCTCATCAAGTGCTATTTGCAGATTTGCTACATGACAAATGAATTAGTTATTCCGAAATCTCAATTGTTTTCCAGCATACTAAGATACCAAATCTCGCACACCTAACTCCGAGTAACCACTATCTGTCTGAATGCAAGTGGAAACCATCTAGGAAATACAAGAAACGTAATTCAGAAACGTAATGCTCAAATTTTCAGAGCCAAACCTTGTGATGACCACGGAGAAAGAGCAGCACCAGAATTTCCAATCGAAGTTGCTGTAAAATCAGGCCCCGTCTTGAATTCATTCATCTGAATTTCAGACAGAAAACCACAAAAAAAAAAAAAAAAATTCAAAAGACAAAAATTAGATTTCATGAGAATCCAAGACATGTAGCAGACAGTCATAGCATTTAATATCATGATCAATGGGGTGGTTAAGGAAACACACAAAGGTGTGGACTAATGCATACCCAACTTGGTGCGCTACCAGAAGGGCCGTCCCATCCGATGTGTGCCACATGCTTAACATCTGTCGGATATCCAATCTCCATCTCACGTTCCTTTACAACTACAAGAAAAACCCACTTTCACCTCGAAGCTCAAAATGAATAAGACAACCACAGACCCAAATTTTTTTTAAATATGTATATATAATTGATCCTAGAAATGATAAGATGGAGAAGGATGAATGAATGCCCTTACCAAACATTTGAGATATGTATTTATTGAATCCCTTACAGATCCCCTTCATTTTGGTTCCCATAAAGAAAGCTGTACAGGTCGAATTTAGCAGTCCTCTGGTAGGATCTAAGACACGAAAGAGGTGGAAGAACCACAACAATGTGTAGAACTTGTTCCTTTGCCTGTTTCAAAAGCAAACACATTAGAGAATATCCAACTGCAACATTATCACCCCTTTTTCAATGTTTTAAAGCTCTTGAGTATCAAAGAAGGTGCACATGAGATTTGCCTCAATGTTGGGATAGGAATCTTTCCATTGCTTTGAGATAAATATGCATGTGGGATGTGGCCCTTCAATTACAATTCTTCGTGACAGATAAAATAAACAGGAAAAAGAATGAGGAAATTAATACTATAGCAAAAAGGGACATGCAAGAAATGCAATACCTTTTTAGAAAAGGTTTGATACGGTAAGGGGAGAAAGGAGGCTCAAAAGAGAAGCTGATTCTCTTCCCCTTCTTCCTTCTACAGTCCCCATCTCCCTTCAACACAAAATGTACATATATGCATGCAATTATAGCAATTAGCATGCATGCAAGACTACCAAATGGGATGAGAATTAAGATATAGCAATTGAAGTTCTTCAAGGTAATGTAGTAAATCAATGTACAGAGTATCAAGAGCCAAACTTGCAAATGTGGGAAATTCTTGTGTAAAGGTGCAAGTGTAAGGCGTTTGGCTAGAGATTGTCGGTTCTTGGAAAATGTGGTGTTGCGAGGATAAGGTGGTTAGTTTGCTTCAATGGCAGATTGTTTTGGTAGATTTGAAGATGTCTTAACAGAGAGAGAAAGAGAAGGAAGAGAGAGAAGAGAGAAGAGGGGAGATATGAAGAAGAAGAAGAGGGAGAAAGACAAATTGAGGGAAGAGAGAATGAGAACAAGAGGTGGACAACCACGAAAAGTTCTCAAAAGAAGGTGTGATTTGAGGGAGCACTCTTTTAAGGGCATGGACGTAAGTTAGGCTGGCATTCAACCAACAGAGTACCAATGTTTTTATGCCTAAGAAAAGCAAACTACATCGTCATTGAATTATGAAATTTCATAACGATTGAATGATGCTTTGTTCAACGAAAAAAGAATAAACCTTCAGTCAAACACAAAGACATAAATCTTCAACTCCAAGTAATTTACTGTGTATCAAATGTGAAAAGATATTACTAGTACTGAATTTGCAGATTCTAGAAAGTAGGAGTAATTCATGCTTAGTCATAAGCATTTTTTGGATGCGGGGCTCAGTTCACATGATTTACAAGTTTTGATGTTCACGAGACAAGCTCTTCATACACAACGCTAAGTTTTAGATAATCGATGAAATCTTGATTTAGTAGTTAAAATTGAGGTCTCGAACTTAAAGATTCTAATATCAAATCCCGTTTCCTTCCTTCCACTCCTTAAATTCACTTCTATCATGCTTAAAAAAAATAAAAATGAAACGTAATTTTTAGATAGCAAAGAAAAAATGGTCTTTGTAGTATTCCATGTAAATGCGAAGATATAGGGACATTTGGATTTTTGGTTTTGGTTGGTGAGGATAGATGGCGTAGTGTAAATGGTGCCTTGCTGGTTGGTGTAAATCTCGGGGTCATTAGGCTAAGGTCCTTTTCTTTCCTGCCTGTCTCAGTTAGGAGTTAGGACCAATGGATCTCTTAAAAAACGGGCATCATGTCAGATCATTGAGGGATAGAAATTAGGACGGAAAAACAAGCATTTAAAGATTTTTAAAGCCTTTATCATGACTCATACATGATGAATCAACATAGTCATCAATTCTATGTTATTTCCCTTTGTTGCCAAGATTTTTTTTTTTTACAAAAGGGTTTTAATGCCAGAGGACCGCTACATTCTTCTTTTTTTATTTTCCCCTTTCTAGGGAAAATAAGCATTCGAGGATTTTCTTTTTTTTTTTTTTGTTCATTCATTTCTCTTGTTTTTTCTTGGTGAGTAATCACAAAAAATGATGTTTACAAATTTTTCGCTCAAACAAAGACTGTAGAAATGATTTGTCATGGGATTTGATTAATAATAAGAAATAGTTTCAGTGGATGATGACAATTGAGTTTCGAATTATAGTCATGGCATTTTTTACACAGTCACTTAATTTCAAACTTAACTACAAGGGACGGGGAATATAAATAAAATGTCATGAGTTCAAACTCTCGCACTCATATTATTAAAAAAAAACTTAAATACAGGACATTATGAAAAGTTAGTGACTTATTACAATTTGGGATTTGTAAGAATTAGTCTTTTTTTTTTTTATGGGCGTGGAACTTTTTATTTAATTACTGATGCCATAATTCTGGTTCTAAATTATTCTTGAGTAGAGGGTTTGAGCTTCATTCATGTACTGGCTGATAATTAATTTCAGTGTTCATGTACCTGAAGCTAGGTAGCTAATTAATAATCAGGATATTTTAGTTTCATTCCCTATAAGTCTTATAATTATGAAGTGTTTCATTATTTGAAAAAATTAAATAAAAAGTCAAAGACCCAATATGCAACTAGAAAAAGGATATTCTTTTTTTTTTTCCTGCAATCCTAGCTGTCCTGAATTTGCCGAGTCATAATCCACATGGATAAATGTTCTTCTTCTTGTTGCTTTATAGTAAATCTTTTTGCTACAGAGATTTGTTTGTCTAGCAATGCCATTACTTTGTCTACTAAATCTTTTTTTTTTTTTTTGATCAAGTGTCTAGTAAATCTTTTTTGTTGTTCCTTTACAATCATTCTCAGAATACTATTATTGTTATTATAATTCCACTGTGTCAAGCAAGTTGCAACTCATGTAGATTCCTTTGGATATCCCACCTAAAACTTTTGGTATAAAATACTGAGATTTTTTGTTCATTGTTGGAAACACGTTTGATGATGAGGCTGGAAGCAGAAATTTCCTATTGCCTCGTACGGAACTGTGTTGGTCACTTTCAGACAGCTGCTGGTAACAACGATAAAAGGGCATCTACAAATATTCCTTCAAATACGGATACCATATGATTAACAAGGCTTCTTCGGTTGCATTTGATAAAACTAATGTATAAAAATCTGAAATCTGAGATGTGAATCCAGTAAATTATTGAATTGTTAAGTATTAAATCTAATACATTTAAGTGCATATCACATTCAATGATAAATGAATAGTTTATCACTTAATTTTGGGAGTAAGTTTTGCCTAGAAAATTCAGTACCACTTAGTTAATTCGGATGTTCAATTTTTGGTTATCAAACGGTTTGAATATGTTAAGATCTGAATCCATTAATTTTAAATGATGAATTGGATTATCAAACAGTGTTTTCCATGATAAAATATCATACAAACGATATTTCAATTCTAGCAAATTAGGAAAAAATGCAGTTTTAGTTCTCAATATTTAATAGCTATTTGATTTTAGTTCCTAAAGTTTTTTTAAAATATAAATTTGGTTTCTAATATTTAGTACCTAATTTTTAAGTTTTGACAAGAATAAATTTGGTTCCCAATATATTCAATTTAAAGCAAATTTAGGATATTTAAAGAATTTTTTCAATTATCGATAGAATTTAGTCACGTTCAATCATGTGTCTGTTAAATTGATTTTAGAATTGGAAGAGTAAAATAGCAACTAAACTTTAAATAACAAGATTAAGAACTAATAATTTGACGTGCTAACGTATTAGTGATTAAAATGGAAAAAATGCTAAATTACAAAATTAAAACCAATTGGAGCACCTAATTTGTTGATTTAAAACTCATTTTCATTCTATCTACATTGTCACTAGACAAAAAATCCTAACACCCAGTTTTTCCATTTTTTTAACAATTTTTTTTAAAATTAGTTATTCACATGCTATCACTTAAATTATTCTAATTATTCAAAATTAACTGCTATTTTGTTTTCTTTAAATGCAATTTAATGAACACGTTATTACACTTGACTGATTTCATCAATAATCAAGAAAATTTATAATTGTTCTGATTCTGCTTTAAATTGGAAACATGGAGAACTATAGTTGTTTTTGTCGAAACTTTAAGGACTAAATATAGTTGTGCCAATGAACATGCGTATATGTCAATACCATCACATCTGCTATCCAACTAGTTTAAGTTCAAAGTCGATGCTACATTTGATAAAATCATGTAAGAAATTTCAGATCTAACATATAAATTTAAAAAAACTCTTAGACCTAATAAAGAAACTAAATGATAATTCCCACGAGAATATTCTAAGATAAAAGAAACCGGTCACTAGGAAAATTGTAGGAAAGGGGAAAACTCACACTAAGTGGCTAGTTGCTAAATATTGAGGATCAAAATTGCATTTCTCCCGCAAACAAAACATAAACTATATGTTTCCGTCCTCACAAATCGGAGTGGAGAAGATTTGATGGGACAACTACCGCCAGTCCTTCAAGTTCTGCAGTAATGCTTGACTAATTAATACGTCATTTACAATTAGAACAGTACAGCCAACTTGCAATACTTACATTTATAAATTCAAAAGTCAAATATATATATATATTTTTTAGCAACAACTAATTTTTCTTATAGCGCGTTTATTAAATTAATTTGACGAGTACTAGAAATAGCTATTCTTATTCAATAGCTGTGCCTGCAACAAATAAACCGGGATCCTAATAGTTGACAGAATGGCGAATGACGGCTAGGATTGTGTTATATTCCAAAGTACAGAATGTCGCTGCAATTTTTTGTAGGAATCCGAGTTTGAATTTCCATTATATAGCTAGACAAGCTTTTCCTTCCAAAAAGAAAAAGAGGGGAAAAAAAAGGCAATGTGATCCATTTCTTGTTGCTCCTCTTTTTTTTTTTTTGTGAATTAAGTGAAATGTGCAAAGCTTAAAGGTTCAGTTTAACCACCACCTTTGGAAGGCAAAGTTCAACAAATTAAAGTTACTTTTGTTGTCTTCAAGGCGCACATGGATTTACTTTAGAACAAAAGACAAATGTGTCGACCATTGTCTCATCTTTTATGTGATTGCTAAAAGATTACTAATAAAACTAGCAGGACCCCTCCGGCCCCTTGGAAAGAAAAGTAATGAAGGAAAAGTTGTAACAGCATATTATAAGCTTTCTACCAAACAAATTCGTTTCAGAAATCACACCAATCGAATTTGTGAAGAAATTTTTGGTTGATTTGAATAGCTCCATATCTAACGGGAATTATTATTGTTGGATCCCATCAACCGTTTACTTTTGTTGGACTTGAATTTTATCCCACAAACCTTCTTATTTTAAAGTGAATTCTTAAACAAAATTGAAATAGATGAAACTAACTTTAAAGTGAATTCTTAAACAAAATTGAAATAGATGAAACTAACGCGTGTGTTCAAATTTAGAAATGGAAAAATTATTTTGAAATTAAATTGATCGATGGAATATAACCCAAATCCAAATAACTAATAAAACCTAACGGATTTGTGGAATAAAATCCAAGCCTAACAAATAAAATTGTTGGTGAGATAAAATCCAAACCCAACGAATGAAACTGTTGGTGGGATAAAACCAAACCCAACAATTATTGTTTTATTTATGCATCATAGCTGAATAATACAGTGCAAACCAAGCAAGGAAAAGGGTTAGGTTGGATGATAAAGCGGGAGAAATTATAAGTAACAATGTCTAGGTTCAAAACCTCTCACCCACTCAAAAAAAAAAAAAAAAAACCAGTGCAAACCAAGCATTTCTCAGTACAACTTCAACAAAACAGTGGAATTGATTGAAGAGGGCAATTAGTGTAATCAGAGCCCCTCCGTGTAGGCCACTCCGGTATTCTTCAACCATTGGCCACCTTGAATGAGCTGGGCCACCGTGAATTTGCTTGCCTCAGCTGCACTGGTGATCACATGATAACCAGGCCACTTGACCCTGCCGCTAGTCCCAGCGCCTGGGCCTCTATTTTGGTATTCGCCATAGTACAAAGTCTTCAAAGCAAAGTCACCAC